AGCGCTACGCCAGCTTGGAAGGCCATTCCCAAGACCTCATCGCTATCTTGGAGGAGTTCCACGTCACCAAATGCATCTTCGTCGGCCACTCTCTCTCCTCTATGGTGGGTGCTGTCTCATCCATTTTCCGCCCGGACCTCTTCCGGAAGATCGTCATGATATCCGCTTGCCCAAGGTACGTAACTTAAGTTTTTTTTGTTTTATAGATCAAATTGTAAGAATTGAAAACATCAACTTCAGTTCATAGCGTCTCATGTAATCGAAACACGCATTTTGTAACACAAATGGTTTTATTTTTTACGTTAAGCAAAATTACAAATGATACACTAAGTTGGGCGTTGTCAACAAAAGAGACAATTTGTTGTCCCTCACGAAAAAGATACCAGTAGTTGACTTTTTTGCACGAAAAATATACAAAATTACAAAAACGATGCACTATATTAGAAAACTTTGGATTGTTTATGCTTGATTTAGTGTACGTTTTTGTAATTTTGTATCTTTTTCGTGCAAAAACCCAACTACGGGTTTCTTTTCCGTGAGGGACAACAAATTGTCTCTTTTGTTGACAACGCCCAACTTAGTGTATCGTTTTTGTAATTTTGCCTTTTATGTTACATTCGTTGTATTTGGATGAGATCAGTCAACTTAATATATATTTGGGATTAGTTTTATGATATTGTATATGGAACAACGCATTTTATAACATTGAACGTTGTTTTGGTCAACTGTCTTCTACCCGAGACACTTTGGATTCATTTCATACCTCTCTGATCCCACGCATCGATTTTGACAAGCTAAATTAAGTAACTCCCATTGATCTGCACTTTCAACATAAGACTACCTCTTTGATTCTTGGACTCGTCTTTTTTTTTTTTTTCCCTTGAAAAACATTATGTACTTTTGATTAGGGTAGCAAACGCAGATGACTACTACGGAGGGTTTGATCAAGAAGATGTCAACCAACTGTACGGTGCCATGGAAGAGAACTTCAAGACGATGATGACGGGTTATGCACCGATAGTAGTGGGCGGGGACTTGGAGTCAGAGGCCATGCAGGAGTACAGCCGCACACTCTTCAACATGAGGCCCGACATTGCCTTGAGTATTTGTCGTATGATAGCCGGCTATGACCTGAGGCCTTACTTGGGCCTCATCGTCATCCCCTGCCACATCATTCAGAGCTCCAACGACAAGCTGGTGCCCGTGGCTGTGGCTGAGTATCTCCACCGGAGCTTCGGTGGTAAGTCGGTGGTGGAGTTGATCCCAACCGAGGGCCACCTGCCGCACCTCAGCGCACCAGATATCACCATTCCGGCACTCCTCCGCCACATAAATCAGGATATAGCAGATGATTGAGAAACTGCGCGGTGGATTTTGTTGTGTTGATCTGATCACTCTTTTGCACAATGTGGTTGGATGGATTTTTCATTGCTTTAGAGCTTGTTTGGTAACGCTTTTGTAATGAACTATTAGACTTGGAAGTCCATTTGGAATTTTGTTAGGTTGTTTGGTAGTTTATATTAAATGGACTTCTTAAAAAAGTCACTTCTCAATAAGTCTATTTTGGAGAAGTGAGAATTACCGACTTCTGAAAGTCCATTTTACATTTGAAAAGAAAAAAACAATTACTAGATAAAGTGGTCCCAAACATGTACTTAGCCTCTCTCGTTGAGATTGTTACAAAACAAATGGTTTTTAATAACTTTTGCAGATCGAAAATTTTCGTTGTAAACTTGGTTTGTATTGAATGGTTGGAGTATTCTTCATGTTGTAGGTTAGTTTAGTTGTTTGTGTTGTGTTGTTTCAGTTAGGTTAGGGGTTGTTTATATACAAAAAAATTCTATCACATTTTAATTCATATTCAAAATCTAACTCAATCCCACTATCTTTAATACTATTCATATAATTAAATAATACAAATCAATCATTCTTACACATTACATCAACTTTAATTCATTATTCCTCCATTCACATAATTTTAATTAACTATCACTTCACATCATTTCTCTCCTACTTTTACATCAAATCAACTTTGATTATTTTATTTCAAATATTACTTTAATATAAATTCAAAATTCCACTAACAACTAATCATACTACTTTTTTCAAAATTAATCCTAGTTAATAAAAAAACTTATTTTGAACGGATTAATTTGTAAACAAGCATGCCCTTAGTTTTTC